TTTTTAGTTTTCTTATTTATTTAAGTGCACCACAACCAATGGTAATTTTATTTGGATTGCTTATTATGGGTGCATCCCACGTCACTCTATGAGAGTACCATATTCCACCTTATAAGTAGACTAACTCATTCTATCTAGCACAAGGTCTTTTCTTAATGGAAGAATAAAACTGTGAGGGTATGCCCAAAGTTAGCTAGGGGCCTATGTGGGTGCATCCCACATCGCTCTGTGAGAGTATCACATTTCACTTATAAGCTGACTAACTCCTAACTAGCACAAAACCTTTTCTTAAGGGAAGAACAAAACTATAAGGAACTTACAAGCTTACTGACTCCTAACTAGCACAAAATCTTTTCGTAAGGAAAGAACAAAATCGTGAGGGTACGTTTCACTTTATAAGCTGACTAACTCTTAACTAGAGCAAGACCTTTTCTTAAGGGAAGAACAAAACTGTGAGGGTACGCTTCACTTTATAAGCTGACTTACTCCTGACTAGCACAAGACATTTTCTTAAGGGAAGAACAAAACCGTAAGGGTAACCCAAAGCGGACAATATTGTGTTGGTGGGGCGTTGACTCCTTCATTTGGCACCATCTATGGGAACTCCCTTCTAAGGAAGCCAGTCAACTGGGAGTCCTATGTGGGTGCATCCCACATCGCTCACTCCTTTTAACTAGCATAAGGCATTTTCTTAAAAGAAGAACAAAACTGTGAGAGTACGCCTAAAGCAGATAATATTGTGTTAATGGGAGGGGTTGGATCCTTCATTTGGCATCGTTTGTGTGAGAGTACCACATTCAAAACAACAAGGGCGCCAAAGCGAACAATATTGTGCTAGTAGGGGGTTGGTTCCTTCATTTGCCACCGTCTGTGGAAACTCTATTCTAAGGAAGCCAGGCAGCTAGGAGGCCTATATGGGTGCATCCAACATCGCCCACTCCTGCTAACCCTTATAAACCCTTTCAAAACTTCCCACCAAATCACTGTGGAACAAGCCAATTTACAATCTTAAGGAATTTCCACCAAAACTCCATTTCCATGGAGCACACTTTGGCTTCAATTTCCCATTCACTCGGTAATGGTTTTGAGCAACCAAATATACCACGTGAATCACAACGCGGCATAGAACGCGTTACCACTTTGACCCGAGTAAATCGACACTCGGGGCCCGCCTAAAAAATAGACCTAACTTAGGAAAAAATTCTGATTTTATCCAGAATTTTATAACCATTTCCAACACCAGGCAGCTAGGAGGCCTATATGGGTGCATCCTACGTCGCTCACTCCTGCTAACTAGCACAAGATCTTTTCCTAAGGGAAGAATAAAATTGTGAGAGTTAGTCCAAAGCGGACAATATTGTGCTGGTGAGGGGATTGACTCCTTTATTTGGCACTATCTATGTGAGAGTACAACATTCAAAGCCATGAGGGTACGCCCAAAGAGGACAATATTATACTGGTGGGAGGGGGAGTTGGCTCCTTCATTTGGCGTTGTCTGTGTGAAAGTACCACACTCTACCTTGTAGGCCTACCTTTTTAGCCTTTTCCTAAAAGAAAAACAAAACTGTGATGTCCTAAGGGAATAACAAAATCGTGAGGGTACGCTCAAAGCGAAGAATATTGTGTTGGTGGGGGGTTGGCTCCTTCATTTAACGCTGTCTGGGTGAGAGGACCACATTCTATCTTATAAGCTAACTAACTCCTCCTAATTAACACAAGATCTTTTGGCTCCTTCACTTACCGTGCAAAAAGAAAAACAAAATGGTTATGTCAAGTATTACTGAAACAATTTTACTTAAATTTTTTTTTTTTCTTGGATTATTTCAGTCACCCTCATTTTCCATCAATGCTAAACAATAGAAAGCGTTGACCTCTTTACCTTCATCAACGGTCTCAAATCAGTTGTCATTTTCAAAGCAAGATACCGCATGGGAGATCAATAATCCGAAATCTTGCAGCACATAATTCCTTGACGAATACTTTAAACTCAAAGTCAAGATGTAAAGGAATTTGAATAGATTACATGCAAACAAAATATATATAAAGCTTAGTAAAATCTTAGCCAAGAAGATTGTTAGTGATTTTTAATCAACACATGTGTTTCAAGAGACTACTTCACATGTATTTTAATCATTCAACATGCTTTTGCGTAGCGATATATGGTTACAAATTGCCAGTCATGGATGACTTTGAAACATATTCTTAGCTGGCTATGCAGTCTCATTTTGGACTCTTCATAATCATTAACAACAACATTGTTAATAGGACTTTTCGTTCCTCATTTCGGCCATGGCAATTCCTCAACAAGATCCACGAGGTTGCTGATCATTAGCCTTGATTTAATGCCAACTATGTATATCGTTAGTCATCACGTTGACTATGTACGGATAACGTGTCGTGCCCTCCCAAATAAAATAAAAAGAGAATACAAATGGCTTATGTTAACTGAGCCATAAGTTTTTAACCAAGACCATTGGCTTAGTGGTTTTGATGAGAAATATCAAATGTGAAAGCCACTAGCCTTAAAGAGGTTGTTTTAAATTTTCTGGCATATTTGATGGAAAACTCAATTTTTAAGTCAGGGTAGAGCATCTAACTTGACTTGTGTTGTCTTTCAAGCCCAAGATACACCCAGAATAATTGAGCGTAATTGAGGTATGGATGGAATTACTGGCATGTTAGTTAGACTTGTTATTTTATTTTTATTTTTGTGTGTGTGTGTGTGGACAAAATCACCTTCAAGTCAAAGGGCATCGTAATGCAATAGTTCATTGGCAACAATTTCAACGGAGCAGTTTGACCATTTGATTGCAAAACAAATAATTTTGTTGAATTTTCAAGGTCTTTGGATCAGCAGTGACTTGTGCTGGGTTTTGGACAGTTTTCTTCGTTTGGGCCTCTGAATTAAAAAAATTATTATATTTGGAAAGATTTTGAAATTTTGGGGCCTGAATAAATTCATTTGGATTCACACTCTATAATTTTTTTTTAATTTAATTTAATTTTATATGTAATCATAGCTCGATTTGAGACATCAATTGTGGCTTAGTCACCAAGTATTGTTTGTTATAAATTGAGTTGTCGGCCTTTGAGGCTATTAAGTTATTTTAAGACAAGTTGTCTCTTCTATTTTCTGCGCTTGCGAAGACAACTACCAGAAGTACCAACAGCAAAAACAATCATCAATTAGGAAAGCAACTAACAATGAAGTTCCCTCGTCGTCTTAATGTATTTCTGCTGAATTATGTAGCTCTCATGATCATCTTCCTCATCGTTGCCTTTCGTTCAATCAATGTTGACGGTTCAAGGAGCCATAACCACCTTCACATACCTCAACTCATCCCTACTCAGCAATTGTACAAGCCCAACAACTTGGGATCATCCGTACATGGTCGTCACCCTCCTGCTTCAACCAATATTCCCACAACCACCCAAGAATATTCTGGCCCTAGCAACAGTGGAATTGGTCACTGAATTGTTTTTCGGCATGGCTTGCAGGAAAATTTGTTTAAAAACTGCAATTTCTTTTTCTTGCCTTGGATTTCTTATAGTAGTTACTGCGTATTTAATTTGTCTCATATTAATCATCCAACAATTTCTTCACAGATGAAGGATTACAATGTCATAATTTTGCAAGCTGATGTTTTTGCCTTTTCTTTTTCTTTTTGGTGATAGATTTGCAATACGGTGAATTACAGTTATATATAACTTTCGTTTGTTTTGGCAAAAAATATTTTGTAAAAAATGTCATGAGTTTTCCCATCCTTGCCACATTTATACATTTGGTCTCGCTTGTAAAATTAGACATAAAATGAGATGAGATAGTGGGAAACATTGATTAACAAGATAGGTTGAAAAAAAAGTATAAAACAGTTTCTTGTAATTTATCAAAAATTTCACAGATCTCAGGAGGTAAGCAAGGGAGCTTAAAGGTTGTCTTATTAATGTAGTGGATAGTATACATTAGCCTATAATTTGTAGTGATTTAGAACTCCATTATGGTAGATCCATTTACAAATGAGATTTTTTTGTTAAAATGGGGGTACACTTTTTTGTAGGAGGGGTAATTGTGCTTGAAGAATTAAGAACCCAGAGTTTGAAGACTTTTATTATTATTTTTATTTTTAAACAGAATAAGGAGAGAAAAAAAGAAGGCCCAAAAACAAAAACAAAAAAAACCAACATAGGCTGATGAATTTAAATGGGACGAACCCCATGTCACTATATGATTGAAACAAGAAAAATTAGAGCTTTAGGTAAAAGATTTTTAGAGAAATAACTTGTCAGTGGTGGTCAACGAAAAAAATTATTAAAAAGTAATAAACATTATAAATATTAATAATTAAAATTGTAAACTTTTTCATTAAGGTATAATAATTTTTAAAATTACTACTGAATAGTAACTGTTAGCAGGTATTTTAATATTATAATGTGTTATAGGTTGGTTTTTCTTTTCTTTCTCTCAAAGTCTCTTCGAGTCTTCATCAAGTCCACCAATTCTTATCCTCTCCAAGACTTCCAAGGTAAGTTTCCAAAGTCTTGGTCTTGGTCTTGCTCCACCAAGACTTATCATTTTCAAGTCCACCATGCTTATCCATCTAAGTTCTCATCCATTTCATATCTACCAAGGCACCTCCAAGCCTTATCTCTTATATATTTGAGCTAATGTCCTATCTTGGTGCAAGGGTGAAGAAGTTTTGGTTGTGTTGTTATGTCTTGAGTGAGATTATCAGGCAAATAAAAAAGGTGTGTGTGATAAAATTTTGGGTTCAACTAATTGTGCAGTATTGGTGAACTATATGGCTTAGTCGGGCTGTTGTATCCTGGGGAGGACAAGTCAAGGTTTTTCTGCTGCACCGGTTTGAGGTTTTGCCTAACCGCAGAGGGCTTAAATCTCCTTAACGAGAGCGAATTTCCTGCGCCTCAGCCCTTATATTAATTGTTGTAACTTTTATTTTGTGTATTTTCTGGTGTTTTATTTGTAAGTATCACCAACAATTTTAAGGAGATTCAACTAGCAAAAGTTCATGGAGCCAATACTGGAGAAGCCCAACGAGAATACCGGCGATCTTAACAAGCCCTTCCAGTTCAAGGGAGCTCATTTCAAGAGATGGAAAGGCAAGGTGCTTTTCTACCTCAGTCTCCTCAAGGTGGTGTATATCCTGACTGAGAAAAATCCAAACAAAGTCCCCATTGAAGAGATGACCGACGAGGAGTATGCTGCTCATCTTGAAAAAAATCGAAAAATACAACACAGATGAGTATAAATATCGATACTATCTTTTGAATTGTCTTTCAAATCAATTTTATGATTATTATGATACTACTTACACCACTGCCAAGAAAATTTGGAAAGCCTTGCAGAACAAATATGATACTGAAGAGGCAGGCGCTAAAAAATATGCTGCAAGCCGTTTTTTCCGCTATCAGATGATAGATAAAAAATCAGTGGTGGAGCAAGTTCAAGATTTTGAGATGTTAGTAGCTGAAGTTAGATCTGAAGACATCAAAATTGGAGACAATCTTGTTGTAGCAGGTATTGTTGACAAATTTCCATCATCTTGGGGGGAGTTTCAGAAGTCAATGCGTCACAAGCAAAAAGAGACGTCCTTGGAAACTCTAATCACACGGATTCGGGTGGAGGAAGAAGCACGAGGACAAGATGCGCTTGTGACACAAGAGCATTCCACTGCAAAGGTAAATTTAACTTCTGGAAATACTTTACCTAAAGGTTGATTTCATAAAAATAGTCATTTGAAGCCAGTTAAGAAAATTAGGAAAAATACTGAAAGGCCACAAAATAAAAATTACCCGAGGCAAAAGAAATGGAACCAAGAACCCCCTTCACAAGATCTGACAAATGTGACATGTTTTGTGTGTGGCAAAAGTGGGCATATTGCTCGAACTTGCAAATTTCAGAAACAATAGTCTCGACCACAGGCTAATGTTACCGAGGAACCATTTGTGGCTATGATCATAGATATTTTTATGGTTCAATCCACAGAAGGGTGGTGGGCAGACTCTGGTGCCAATAGACATGTCTGCTATGATAAAGATTGATTCAAAGATTTCACTCCTTTTAATGAGGAGAGGACTGTTATGCTTGATGACTCCAGTTTAACCAAGGTGCTCGGGTGTGGGGATGTTGAGCTGAATTTTACCTCTGGACGTGTGCTTGTTTTAAAAGATGTGTTGTACACACCATCTATGAGGAAAAATTTGATGTCAAATTATTTGCTCAACAAAGCTGGTTTCAAGCAGACTATTGAATCTGACCAATATGTAATCACTAAAAAAGGCATATTTGTGGGAAAAGGATATGCCTGTGATGGAATGTTTAAATTAAATGTTGAGAATAAGAAAGCTCATGTTTCTATTTACATGCTGTCTTCTATGAATTTTTGGCATGCTCGTCTGTGTCATATCAATAGCCGATATATGGGAGTCATGAGTAGTTTAGGATTAATTCCCAGACTAACAAACAAGTTTGAGAAATGTGAAGTTTGCAGTCAAGCAAAAATAACTAAAAGGCCTCATAAAACTGTGGTGAGAAATACTGAATTGTTAGAATTAATTCACACTGATTTATGTGAATTTGAAAGAATTTTAACACGTGATGAAAATAGATATTTTATCACTTTTATTGATGATTTTTCAAAATACACTTATGTATACTTGTTGAAAAATAAAATAATACTTTTGAAAAATTTAAAGAATTCCTTCTTGAAGTTGAAAATCAATTCGGTAAAAAGATTAAAAGGTATAGGCGTGATAGAGGCCGGAAATATAAATCTTTTAGATTCAACTCGTTTGCTCAGTCTTTGAGAATAATCCATGAAACTATTCCACCATATTCACCTGCATCCAATGGTGTAGCAAAAACGAAAAATAGAACTTTAACTGATTTAACAAATACTATACTAATTGAAGCAGGTGCTTTTTCAAATTTGTGGGGAGAAGCAATTTTAACTGCATGTTATGTTATGAATAGAGTGCCACATAAAAAAACAAAAGTTACACTTTTTGAGTTGTGGAAAGAGCATAAGCCAAATTTGAGATATTTGAGAGTTTGGGGTTGTCTGGCTTTTGTTAGACTGGACCCTAAAAGACCTAAATTAAGTGTGAAAACTGCTACTTGTGTTTTTCTTGGATATGCAACAAATAGTACAGCCTATAGATTTTTTGATATTGAAAACAAAATAATTTTTGAATCAGGTGATGCAATTTTTCATGAAGAAAAATTTCATTTTAAATCTAAAAATGGTGGGGGTCAAAATTATCAAGAAAATATTTATCTGAAACCGGTTCCTCTACTCCTCTTTTACAAAACCAAGATACTGTAGTTTTTGAACCAAGAAGGAGTAGAAGAGCCAGATTAGAAAAAGATTTTGGCCCTGATTATCATATTTTTAATGTGGAGGAAACTCCATTAACTTTACAAGAAGTTTTGGCATCTCCTGACTTTGTTTTTTGAAATAAGGCTGTAAATGATGAGATGGAATCATTATTATCCAATAAAACTTGGGTATTAGTAGATTTACCACCAGGTTGTAAAATTATTGATTGTAAATGGGTTTTGAGAAAAAAACTTAAACCGGATGGAACTATTGATAAATATAAAGCAAGGCTTGTTGCAAAAGGTTTTAAACAACGAGCAGATCTTAACTTTTTTGATATATTTTCTCCAGTTACTAGAGTTACATCCATTAGATTATTAATTGCAGTGGCTGTAATTCATGATCTAAAAATTCATCAAATTGATGTTAAAACAGCTTTTTTAAATGGAGACCTGGGTGAAGAAATCTACGTGGATCAATCTAAGGGTTTTGTGGAACCCGGTCAAGAAAGCAACGTGTGCAAGCTAGTCAAATCCCTATGTGACTTAAAACAAACCCTTAAATAGTGGCATGAGAAATTTGATTCCTGCATGATTGAAAATGGCTATAAAACGAATGAATGTGATAAATGCATTTACTATAAATCTGAAGAGAATTCACATATCATTATTAGCCTCTATGTGGATGATTTACTTATATTTGGTTCTAATTTGCATATCATTGTGGAAACTAAAAATATGCTTAATAGCCATTTTGATATGAAAGATCTTGGTGAGACTAATTATATTTTGGAAATGAAAATTACCAAAACCTGTGATGGTATATTTCTTGATCAGTCGCATTATGTTGAGAAAATTTTGAGAAAATATAATTTTTATAAGTGCAAGCATGTTCTTACTCCTTTTGATCCTCATGTGCGTTTATTTCCTATTGAAAATGATGAGGATGTAATTAATCAAAAGGAATATGCTAGTATGATTGGTAGCTTGCGTTATGCGACTGACTGTACTAGACCTGACATTGCCTATGCAGTTGGAGTACTTAGCAGGTTTACTAGCAAGCCTGGCAATGATCACTGGCTAGCCATTGAGCGTATTATGAAATATTTATCTGGTACCATAAAATATGGCTTGTTTTATAATAAGTATCCTACAGTACTTAAAGGTTACAGTGATGCCGATTGGAATATCTTGTCAGGTGATTCATTATCAACCACTGGTTACCTATTTACATTGGGAGGTAGTGCTATAAGTTGGAAATCAAAAAAACAAACCATTATTGCTAATTCAACAATGGAGGCTAAGCTTATTGCTTTAGCTACAGCTAGTGAAGAAGCAAATTGGTTACGAGATTTGTTAAATGAAATCTCTTGTTGGGAAAAACCGATTCCACCTATATTAATTCATTGTGATAGCACCGCAGCAATTGGTCGAGTTAATAACCGTTATTATAACGGTAAATCCAGACCTATCAGAAGAAAACACAGTGCTGTGAGATCTTATATGAATAATGACATCATAAATGTAGATTATATTAAATCTGGTGATAATCTTGTAGATCCATTAACTAAGGCCTTAGCAAGAGATAGAGTCTGGAATACAACGAGGGGGATGGGGTTGAAGCCCATTGAATATAGCAGGAGCCGTGTATGAGGATACTCAACCCAGGGACCAGAGATCCTGTAATTGGGTTCAATGAGAAAAACGATCATATGATGGCCGTGAGAAATGCACTAAATTACTTTTTTCCCATCCCTATGATGTAAGTGCATTTATCCTGTAACGTTGTAGAGGTTGAGTTATTAAAAAACTCTTAATGAATTTCTGTAACTCTTATTGAGTGGGATGTCATAGTTACAGGAGCACCCTTGACAAAATTCACCTATGTGAGTGTGGTAGTAGGGCTGTTACCTATGAGATTTGAGCTAATTCTCAAACACACTCATGAATCCTGGGATCGCACAAGGCCGTAATGTGCTAGCTTTTAAAGCTTTTGTGAATACCTAGAATATTATGTGTGTGCAATAATTATTTATTTCCCTTAAGTAGTCATAGTTCAATGCTGAGCATACTATTGGCTCTGAAGTAGATATTATTGTTTCACTAATGGAGGTTCAATCCAGAGCACACCTACCATGATGCATAATATCCTTATTTGCCTAATAATCTCAGTTTTGTTACCTATAATATTAAAATAGGTGGTGGAATGTTAGCAGGTATTTTAATATTATAATGTGTTGTAGGTTGGTTTTTCTTTTCTTTCTCTCCAAGTCTCTTCGAGTCTTCATCAAGTCCACCAATTCTTATCCTCTCCAAGACTTCCAAGATAAGTTTCCAAAGTCTTGTTCTTGGTCCACCAAGACTTATCCTTTTCAAGTCCACCATGCTTATCCATCCAAGCCCTCATCCATTTCATATCCACCAAGGCACCTCCAAGCCTTATCTCCTATTTGTTTGAGCTAATGTCCTATCTTGGTGCAAGGGTGAAGAAGTTTTGGTTGTGTTGTTATGTCTTGAGTGGGATTATTAGGCAAATAAAAAGGGTGTGTGTGATAAAGTTTTGGGTTCAACTAATTGTGCAGTATTGGTGAACCATACGACTTAGTCGGGCTGTTGTATCCTGGGAAGGACAAGTCAAGGTTTTTCTGCTGCACCGGTGTGAGGCTTTGCTTAACTGCAGAGGGCTTAAATCTCCTTAAAGAGAGCGAATTTTTCGCACCTCAGCCCTTATATTAATTGTTGTAACTTTTATTTTGTGTATTTTCTGGTGTTTTATTTATAAGTATCACCAACAATAACTTTTCCAAGATTTTTCTCCTCTCCTATTTGTATGAAAGTGAATTTGCAATGAAATGGTTTTTGGTATTCCATTGGCCTCATAGGCTAAGAAGT